CCTTAGAGCATGACCTGAGCTGAAATCAAGAGTCAGACATGTAACTGACTGAGCCACACAGGCACCCCCTCCTCCTCTTTCAAATTCTTATTTTTCTAATTGTCAAAAGACAATTTTATATCTTATCTTTCAGTGGTAACAGTGCTTCCAGGATGCCTAATTAAGGGACATTTAGAAATATTTATTTCAAGGAAGTCTTCTTTAATGGTTAAAACATTTTATGAGACTACCAGCGTTTGTCTACCCCTATTTTAAACCCATTTCTATTAAGGATGAAGTATGGAGTGAGAATTGGTGAATGGTGGTCCATAAGGGAATGTTCTGAATTCAGGTATATTGTAAAATGGGGTGGTGGGAGTAGATGATTTGGTTAGGTTGTTTGTTGGGAAACTTAGTATGTTCAGGTTTTTATTTTTGGGCTAGTCAGATTGTCCAGCGAAGAACCTTTCCATTCTTCTCCCTAGAGAGTAAGGATCTGACTAGGAGCCTAGTGGGAGAAGAGGACTAGGGGGAGGGGTTCTCTACATTTAGCATTCCCATGCCCACAACTATACTTGATGTCCTCTAGCCTAGAAGCTGTTTTATCCTCTCCAGAGAATAAATTTCCAGATCTCCAGATGTCTTCCTGAGTCAGTTGCTTAATAGCATGAAGTAGAGTAGGGCCTCTAGAGATATTCCTTTGCCTCATACAGCTTATACCAGCCCTTAGTCTCTTCATCCATAGTTCCAAGGTATCAGGCACTGCTTCTTAGGATTTTTTTTTTGAGGATAGTGCAAAGCAAATTGGTTTGCTTCTGGAAAGGTCCCACTGCTGACTTGGAATTTTAATTTTTATGTAGTGAAATCTGTTTGTCTTTTTGTCTTTTGAAATTTTGAGTTATGCCTGGAAAAATTTGTATACCCCCACCTCTACTCCAAACTATGAAAATGATCATCTTTATTTTCTGTAGTACTTTTATAGTTTTATTTTGTACATTTTAAATCATTAGCATAGAATAAAATTTTGTTCAGCGTGTGGCAGTAGGACTTAAATGTTTGTTTTCCTCCACAGGGATAGCTTGTTTTCTTAATACCACCTATTGAATAATTAATTTCTGCCCTGGTTTGAAATGCTACCCCATCATACACTGACTTTTTCTGTTTGCATTTTTGTTTTGTTGTGTAAAATGCATGTAACACAGAAATTAGAAGTTACCCTTTTTTAAAAAAAATTTTTTTTTGTTTATTCATGAGAGAGACACACACACACACACACACACACACACACAGAGAAGCAGAGACACAGGCAGAGGGAGAAGCAGGCCTCCTGCAAGGAGCCCAATGTGGGACTCCATCCCAGATCCTGAGATCACCATGCTCTGAGCCAAAGGCTCAACTGCTGAGCCACCCAGGTGTCCCAACCCATTTCTTTATGATCAATATCTAGAAGCACTTATTTGAAGAAGGATGACCTGCATAAACATAAAATGACAAAAAGAGAGGTGAAGAAGATGAAAAATTGTCCTGTCTACTTCCTGGAGACTCTTGTTTCTTTTGTTCTGCTTTCCTCTCAGTGTTCTCTTGGCTAATAGTTCTGTACTTTCTGGACTGAGTTGAGCTATATAGAGCTGAGGGCACATGTTCTGTTTGTGACAACCTCTTGTTATTTCTGTGAGGCATTCCTTTCTCCTGTAAGTGGAAGTTACAACCAGAGGCATTATAAAATATGACTGGTTTAGAAACTTTTAAAGGGTTCCAAGCATGTCAGAGTCTAATGTAGTTCTTACGCTTGACATACACTCTTTAGATAATAAAATTTAGTAGCTAAAGTAAATTTGCTTACTTTCTATATTATAGGATGTCTCTGGTTATTTGTCTCAAGTTTTTAAAGAGTTAGACCTTTGAATTTAGTAAATATTTTATAATGACATTAGTGATTAATTTATTTTTTTATTTTCAAATAAGTGGTAAATACTGTAAATTTTATTTTAAGGGAATGGATATCTTTTTTAGGAATAACCTGGCTGCCAAAAAAAAAAAAAGGAATAACCTGGCTGCTTGTTTAATCTTGCAACATCATTTATTTGATTGTCAGCTTTGTAGATAGGCTTTTCCTTTATATTGTAAGAAGATACAGAAGTGGGAAAATACTTCTAATCTTCGAGATACCTAGTTTAATAGAGGATTTTGTAATTTACTGTCTGATAAGCCATTTAGTACCACTTGGGGTATACTCAGTCATATAACTCTAAAAAAATTAAAAATTGTCACCTTGTTGGAGCTTACATTTTTCCAAAGGTGGCCTATACTCATCAGGCTTTTAAACCATTTGAAGCTGTTAGCTGCTCCTTTAGTTGGCAGCCATGTGGGAGGGGAAACCAGTTCTTCAGGCTTTTGAATGCTTCACATTTTTTTACCAATGGCATTTTTTTTTAACATCAGGCACATCACTTTATAGACAACATAAGTGATCAGTCATTCAGGTGATTCAGGGCATGCTGATTTTATGTTCTGTTTCTTTCAGATGTCATCATTGCCAAGAAGAGCAAAAATAAAGGTCCAGGCTGTGGTATCCAAAGATGAATTCTCTTCCTTGTCTGAGTTGTAAGCATATTGGTTTCATATGGGGTTACAAGAATTACGTATATTTTAAGGAGGAATGCATTGTCACTTACTAATGTAAATCATTTAGGTTGAAGAAGGCTGTGTCTGTCTGTCTTTCTCCCTTTCTTAATTTCTTTTTTTTTTTTAAGATTTTATTTATTTATTCATGATAGACACACACAGAGAGAGACAGAGAGACACAGGCAGAGGGAGAAGCAGGCTCCATGCAGAAGCCCAATGTAGAACCCGATCCCAGACCCCAGGATTAAGCCCTGAGTCAAAGGCAGATGCCCAACCGCTGAGCCACTCGTGTCCCAAGGCTGTCTTTTTCATTCATTAGTGAAACAAATGTTTACTGAACTCATGCTGTATCTCAGGCTCTATCTCAGTGTTGTTAAACTATTGAAGAAGGAGAGAGAAAGTAACCAACCAAATATAACATATTTATACTAGAACATAAGCTCCATGAGAGCAGGGGGTGTTTTATATTGCTTTAGAGCAGAGTTCCTAAACTTAGCACCACTGATCAGATAATTCTTTGCCGTGGAGACTGTCCTTTGCGTTGCAGGATGTTTAGGAGCATCACTGGTCTCTAACAACTAGATGCCAATAGCATCTCCCCAGTTTGTGACAGACATGGCTGGATATTTCCCATGGAGGCAAAATTGTCCTCCGTTGAGAACCTCTGCTTTAGAGCACTGTAATGTTTGTGCCCTGAAGATATTTGTTAAGTAAGTGATTGATTAATGCTAGGCAATAATAAGTACTCTAAAAGAACATAAAACAGGGCCAGGGATAGTGTGGTCAGTGGTTCTGGGCATGGAACATCTTGGATATAGTATTCAGGAAGGTTCTTTTGGAGGATGTGGCAAGAAATCTAAACGAAATTTGGAAGTACCACTTGCAGAGATCTGGGGATGGGTGTTCCACGCAGCAGGAGCCTCAAGTGCAAAGACCCTATGGCAGAAACGAGCTTGGTGTGTTCAGGGAACACACAGTAAGACCTATGTTGTCAGATAAGAGTCATCAAGGCAGAAAGTGATTGGAAATGAGGTTGGAATGGGCAGGATCTAATTAGATGACAGAGCATTAGAGTCTTATTTGAAGTGATGTAACAGAACCAATATGAGTTTGCTCTTTGGTGAGTCACAGATAGACCAAGTGGAATTGTCACACAAAGTAAACTTTATTTGCAGCAAAGAAAGAGATCTTGGGAATAGCTTTCAAAGCTTCCAAAAAGGGTGAATGGATACCTTTTTGTTTAGAGTTAGGATGAATATTTATATAGGGAAGCCTTGTCATCTATGTATGGTGCTTGCACCTTAAGAAAATGTGCTATGCATACATTGTACAGTACATAAGTGAGGCTGTGGTGCCTCCTTGGGAGATTTTAGTGTTATAATTAGGTAAAGGTAATCACCAGTTATACCAGGGTCACTCCAAGGTCAATTGTGCAGGTATAAGTAAGAGGTTTAGCTCAAAGGGTCTGAGTGGTCTGGGCTAGGGAGAGGTCTTGTCAGGGCAGTTGCCATCACCTGAAGGATTGTTTTGGGTTTTAGTTGCCTGAGTTAAGAGGTAAGTTGGAAAGAGGAGTTTAAGGAAAAATGTAAACAAAGCAAGTGGGCAGTAAAGGTCAGGTCTTGGGGTCTAGCTGGTGACAGTGGGTGGGAAAGCCATTGGAAGGTTTGGAGCAGCGAAGACGTGATCTGGTTTACATTTGTAAAAGATCATTCTGATTTCTTGGTGGAAGATAGACCACAGTGGGGGCAGGAATGGAAGAGGGGATCAGTTAAGGAGATTATTGTAGAAGCTTAGGGTCCTGGAAATGAAAGTGGTGAGTAGTCTAATTTGGGATCTGTTTTGAAGATAAAGCAGACCAGCTATGCTGATACATTAGATTTGGGGTATGAAGGAAAGACAGTAATTTGGGGGAGACTGGAAGAGGATCAGATGTGATGGTAGTAAAATCAGGGGTTCTGTTTTGCACTTGGTAATTTTGAGATGATTGTGAGGCATCCAATAAAGGTATATATACAAGTCTTGAGCTCAGGTCAAGTGGAAGATATAAAATTGAAAATTTTCTCTATTTTGCTATTGAATGAAGTAAGATCTTCTAGTAAGAGAGCTTAGAAGAGTGCTGAGGGCTGAGTCTTAGAGGATCCTAACATTGAAAGATTGGGGAGAGGAAGAGAGATAAGCAAAGGGACAAGGAGAAGCTGCCAGGGAAAGAGGAGGAAAACCAGGGGAGTGAAGACCTTGGAAAGACCTGGAAGGTATGAAAGATGTGCTTCAAGAGTGAGTGCCAGATGCACAATTAGTAATAAGAGATGACCAGCTGTCTTAAAACTGCCCCATGTATAATAAAATAATACGTTATTAATGTTTTTCTTTCTAATACCTGAAAGCCTTTTTGTGTCTGTCATGTGACCTTTGAAACTGCCCCCCTGTGAACTGGGGTCTGCACTCCTGCTGGATGAGACTGACGTGGAAAGAAGTCATTCTGCTCAGTTTGGAGATAATATGAGCAGAACCCTGCTTTTCTGTTTCCTTGGTTTTTGAATTCTCCCTCCTTTCAATGACACTGCTATGTGTTATGTGAGTTTAAATGATTTTATTTGTTTTTGCCTACTCTTAGGCTTTAGCTTGCATCTGCTTCTGAAGAGAATTCCTTGGGGGACTATAGGAGACCTAGGAGAGCATAATTTAGAAGTCATTTAATCAGGTTTTTGCCTCCAGGCAGAGCTTAAACCATTCAAAAAGCCAAATATCCCTATTCACTAGCCTAAATGAAGGAAGTGATTGTCCTTCTCACCAATACTGACCTTTTACATTAGGGGTAGGCATAGAATTAAGTGAGTTGGCAGGAGCATGATGTTTCTTTACCAGGGTTCACATGGCTATTTTTCCTGTTGTTGCTGTGAGTTTGATTCGTGGGTTGTTAGAAAGTACTATAGCTGCACCTGATCCAGTATAAACCAGGAAACAAATCCATTCTGTGAAAGGGGGAAAAAAAAACAAACGAACAGAAAATGGTTAATTGAAGCATTTGGAAGGATCTTGGTGCTGGCTTTTTATGTAATTTAGGATGTTTCCTAGAGCCATTTCCCATTCCTTGCATTGGTTTGAATAACTTTAAGTAAATTTGATTACTGCTTAGGAAATTGTTTAAGTATTTTTCATTGTTATAATGGCAAACCTTACAATGACTGTGGTGTGACACCACCTGGTAAATTGCATAAGATAATAAATGATTTCTTCTGTTGTGTGTGTGTGTGTGTGTGTGTGTGTGTGTGTGTGCGCGCGTGTGCGCACGTGCGTGCATGTGCTGGGTAGGTGAGGGGGGGAATGGAGAGACCTGTGATTCATAGCATATCGGGCTGTTTTTTTTTTTTTTTTTAAGATTTTATTTATTTATTCATGAGAGACACAGAGAGAGAGGCAGAGACACAGGCAGAGTAAGAAGCAGGCTTCATGCAGGGAGCCTGACGTGGAACTCAATCCCGGGACTCCAGGATCACACCCTGGGCTGAAGGCAGGCGCTAAACTGCTGAGCCACCCGGGCTGCCCTCAGGGTCTGTTTTTACATTGGTCCTTGATCAACTCTTGTTTTAGGATCTTTGTGTGTAGGATCTGTTCATAGCCTGTGCTCACATCACTCCATTTTATATTAAATGCCTCCTACCTTATTCTTCTTTTAAGAAACATGTCTCTTCTGCCTTTAACATTTGGCCTCATTTTTCCTAGAGTTTTTTCTGTCAATTCACTTCTAGATCATCTGCCTCTGAAGAAGATGACAAGGAAGATAGTACCTGGGAGCCCCAAAAGAAAGTCCCCAGAAGTCGTAAGCAGCCTGTTGCCAAGGAATCCAAACCAAAGAGGGTGCCACGGGTGAAGAAGACCACCCTACAGATAAATGATGGCTCAGAAGGCGTGGCTGTTAAGGAGGAGCTGGTAGGTGCTTCAGTTGAGTGGAGGGAACACTGTAGTGCTTTCTTAATTGTTGATGCTACTTTGTCCTTAGAGTGGGACAGAACAGGTGGATGACAAAAAGTATACCACAGTGGCATTCTCTACCATGGGCCATAATAGTATTTACCATTAGACCCATTGTGTTGGAGGGAAAAAAATATTTATCAACTGATATATTGGTATATTTTGCTATAAGCAAACACTGTACCTGTACTAATCTGGATTAAAGCAGCAGCAACAACAACAATAAATTACAGGCCTTATTGCATTAAAGAGAGTTATGCATTTCCAAAATCATTCCCTGTCATATTCCTTTAAGAAACTGCTTCCATGGTACATTTGAAATAATACTCTTTTAATATACAGTAGAATCCTGACTTTCCAGGGACACATTTATTGTGTATAATAGGGAACATTACAGTGTACTTTGCTGTGCCCTTGGATTGGGCTTTTATTTAAATCAGCCTTTCTCCAGTTATCCAGTACCTCTGTTTCTTCATATTTACATATAAGCTTTTCACTGAAAACCCTTTGAATGGGTGAGCAGGCTTTATCTATAGCTGAGAAGGTATTGACTTCTTTCATCTTGTTGGCAGAATTTGGAGATTTTTCATTAAGTGCGGCATGGCTTCACCTAAAAGTAGCTTGATTGCCTAACTTAGGAAAATGGTTAACCACTAACTTCGATCAGTGGTTCTTGGTATTAGGATATAAACTCTGAGAATCTGATAAAAATTATGATCCCTCTCTTCAGTAAAATGTACACATGCCTGGCCTCTAAACATTAAAGTATAGCTCAGGAAGGTATAGCTTAAGAACCTTGTCATGGTGATTTTTTGATCCTTCCAGTGATGCTCAGTTATATGTATAAACTACAGGGAAAAAAGGAATTCAGATAGGAAGTCTTTCACTTAAATATTCTGGGGGGATTTAGAATTTCTTTCAGAACTGCCAAAATTCACACATTTTATACTTCAATGAAGGGACTTTGAGCATGTTAGAAGAAGGTTTGGCGTTCTGCTCTGCTGTAGCCACCACCAAACAAAATAATTGAAAACCTTATTTTGGGTAGAACTAGAATTGGTAGCCTCCTTATAACTTTATTTTTAGCAAACATCATAGACAGAATTAATCATTCTTTAGTCTCTTCCTGCGTATGTTGCTGGCATTTCCCAACCCACTGGTCACCCCTCTTCATTCATTGAAGACTTTAACTCAGCCCCACTTTACATCTCTCTGCCATATTTTGCTCTTGTTCTTAGTGACTTACCCTTACCCTCCACTACGATGAACTCCCTATGCCTTGTGTTCTTGGTTCTTTGACCTCCTCATCTCCAGAGACTGTGTCATCTTCTCTGCCTTCACCACCCCTCTCATGAACTCACCCTGAATCTTGCCATTATTGGAAACTTCGACGACTGACATTCCTTTTCAACCATCCTGCTTTCAGAGCATCATCTCACCTTTTCCTGTTCTTTAGCTCACTGTTCAGAGGTCCTCACGGCCACACTTTTACAGCCTTGTCACACCTTGTTAGTTCTCAACCCCAGGGAGCTTGAAAAAATGCCAGTGCCAAAGCCCCTGTTCTAGACTCATTAAATCTGGAAGGAATTCTAGGGGTGGGGGTGGGCCTGGGCCTCAGGAATATTACTTTCCTAAAGCTCCTCAGGTGACTTTTGGGAAAGCCACAGCTGATCCTTGGACTCTCGTGCTTCACCACATCTGCTTCACAGACCACTAAGAGTCAGCCCCTCTCTTCCCCTACCTTACCTCGTCTAGACCACATAACCTCTTACTGAAACCACTTTGTGTTCATCTCACCAGTTTTGCCCTTTTTTCCTTCAGACGCGTGGCTGATCAGTCCCCATGTGGGGTGAGCCATTGCCTCTGTTCAGCCAGCATTGAGCAGCTGACTGTTGCTGAGAACAGTTTTGACCTAATTTGTCTTCCTTTAGATTCACAATCTCAGAACTCAACATTGCGCTGAAAATACCTGGGAGGCTCATTCTTTTTCTGTGGCACATTTGTTTTCCTGATTTTTTTTCTCTTAAACTTCCTAAATTCCTTTTTCTCCTCTCAGCTGATGACATTGCCTCCTATGTATTTGAGAATACATGAAGCTCCTCATGATCTCACACCCAGGTGAGGTATATTTGCCTCCTCCCCTGTCCTGTAACAGTGAAGGTCATGCCACCCACTGGGTTAGTTAGTCCCACTGCTGGGGCTGTCGTCTCTGAGTCTGTAGTCCCCTTTCTTTTCTCTTTTCAACTTTTCTTCCAGTGGCTCAGCTGCTACAGAGTATAAAAATGTTCTTTTAAATCTAATTTTTAAGAAGCCTCCCTTCGACTCTTTATCCTTTTCCAGTTATATATCAAGCTCACCCAGTACAACACAAGCCAAGGCCAAGGCTTGCTAACTGATTTGACTGGAAAATACACAAGGACCCACTTTTTTGCTTTAGGCAGTTGACTACTTTCAGAGACAGCAAAAAGAATAGTCAAATTCTTCTTGGAGTCTTGGGTTTAGTCATAGGCTACATAATAACCATTTGGAATGTTAAGGCAGATAAAAACAGTGAAGACAGAAGAAAATGAACTTTGATTATTCAGTCTGCCAAAGATTCAGGTTGAGCATAAGGAAGAAAAATGTTCTCATGGAGGCTTACTAAACTTAAGTATGTCACTGAGACAGGCTATAGAAGCTTAGGAGCTTCATAAAATGGAGAGCTATTTCCCTGTTTTCAATGGTTTAGATCTACATTTTTCAAAACTTTTGGTCTTTGAACCCTTTTGTATTCTTAAAACTTATTGAGGACCCCAGGGAACTTCTGGTTATGTGAGTTATTGTTACTGATATTTACCATATAAAAATGAAAAGTGAGAAATTAAAATATTAATTTTTAAAAACTATTACATGTTAATGCAACTAATGTTTATTTTAATGAAAAATAAGTACATATTTTCCCAACCAACAGCAAAAAATTAGTGAGAAGAATTACATTGTTTTACATTTTTACAGTTATCTTTAATGTTAACTTACTAGACTGTAACTGAAGTGTATGAAGATAACCCACCTCCACACAGATACATATTTGGAAAAGGGAGATGTGTTTTGAAAGGTTTTTCAGATGAATATTCTTATTTGATGCACTACCAAAACTCAGTAAGTGGTAGTTTCTTAAAAGTTTGTTTCATTGTGGAATCTGAAACCATATTAATGAACTTACTATGCTCTATTACATTATAATCCATTGGTTTGTGTTGTTATTTGAAGGGGTCTTTTACTCATTCATGATTTTGTGACATATATTGGTAATTTGGAAAATATTGGTGCACTGATTTATGCAGATCTTCCAAATGTGAGGATCTTTCATTATCTGATGTCAAAAAGTCACATTTGTTAATATAACCTCCAGTCTCATCACAGTGTTGGGAAGCAAGTTCACAGTGGATACAAATTTTCCAAAATTCTAATTTTCACATTGATTTATTTACTTGTTTGTTTTAAATTTTCACTTTTAAAGCCAGAAATTTACTCTTGGTCAAATGTTTCCTTAAAATGATAGTCTCAGTTCATTTCTGAAAAAAATGCCAACCAGATATCCAAGTCTGAATAACGATCGTTCATCAGTCATTATTTCAAGTAAAAATGGTGATTTATGGAAAAGCAAGCTGGTTCAGTTCACAATTGAAATGAGTGCATAAGAGCTTTTGCTCAAGACAACCATTGCACGTCTGTATACACTGGCACACAGCAGAAGTATTTTATGTGTACTGACCATTTCAGCATACAGTATTAAAAAGGTGTGTTTTCAGCCAACCGGGGTGGCTCAGTTGGTTAAGTGTCTGCCTTTGGCTCAGGTCATGATTCCAGGGGCCTGGGATTGAGCCTTGCATGGGGCTCCCTGTTGGCAAGGAGCCTGCTTCTCCTTCTCCTGCTGTCCTTTCCCCTGCTTGTACTCTCTCTCCCTTGCTCTATCTCAAATAAATAAATAAAATCTTAAAAAAAAAGATATGTTTTCAAGGATTGAAACTTTAAAATTTAATAATTTTTAAAAATTATTTACTTATTTTTTTAATATAGGCTCCATGTTCAATGTGGGGCTTGAATACACAACCCTGAGATCGAGAGTAGCAGGCTCTACCAACAGAGCCAGCCAGGTGCACTAAAACTTAATAATTTTTTTTGAAAGATTTTATTTATTTATTCATGAGAGACACAGAGAGGGAGAGAGAGAGAGAGAGGCAGAGACACAGGCAAAAGGAGAAGCAGGCTCCATGCATGGAGCCTGACATGGGACTCAATCCCGGGTCTCCAGGATCAGGCCCCGGGCTGAAGGCAGTGCTAAAACGCTGAGCCACCAGGGCTGCCCCTAAAACTTAATAATTTTTAACTGCATTGTTAAACTCACATTGTTTTACTGCAAGTGTATGTCAGTGAAGGGAACATTGATTGATAGTACTACTTGATGCCATTGCCTTGGGTTTTGCTACCGTTGCTCTTGTACTATCATTGAAATGTCAACAACAAAAAAAGGCAAATCGTGTTTAAGCATTATTGTGAAGAGTTTGATCTCACAAATCCCCTAAAAGGTTCTGTGGACAACACTGAGAAACACTCGGTAAATCTTGCCTGAAGGGTCCAAAGGGGGTACCATTAAGTGTTTTTGTGATTGTTGACTTTTTTTCCTTTTGATCATTTTACATTTTCTTCATTTCTTTGTCTACTTCCTTTTCCCTCTCCTAGGAGATTGTCTAGATATGATAGTAGTGGTAATAATGGTGGTGTCTGCAGATATTTTAGTTCTTACCATCAGCCAGGCAACATGCTCAACAGTTGGGTTGCATAAGCTTACTTAAATCTTAACTCACAACAACTACTTGAGGCAGTTGCTATTACTATCCTGATTTTATAGATAAGAAAGCCAGGGAAAGAAATGTGAAGTGATTTCCTTATGGGTAGCAGATAGTACATGATGGAACTGGGATTCTAAGTTAGCAACATGATTTTGAGAGCATTTCAGGAACACATATGTCTCTCGTGTGGTTTTATCTCAGCCATGCTCATAAGAAGGATGTATAAAAACAGAGTGCTGCTTTAATAATTAATGATTTGATATAATAATCACAAGGACATGAAATTTTTCCGACTGATACTCTCCTCAGAGGCTAAAGTAAGTAGGCACTTAAGTAAGAATCAGAAATTTACTCAATGAGCATGGATCCAGATTGGGGGAATTAAATAAATCCATTCTTTTGGATTTATTGAATGCCTGCTGTGTTCTAGGCATTAATGTTTGTCACAATGACATCACATGTTTTAAATGCATGAATCTAAGATAGTCTGGTGTATGCATCTCACAGGAGGGCTGTCTTACCTTTGGGACCAAAATACTCAGAGTCCATTTGCTAAGCTTTCCTCTTCTTTGTGCGTTGCTTAGAAGAATGGCTGATCATAGATGGTATTTGCTTTTTATAGTTCCTCTTTTTCTTCTCCTACATGGTTAACAGCCCTCTGTACAGTTGACACCTTTTTTCTTCTGCTATGTCAAGTCATTTGATCAGGCTATTATTAACTCTTATGGACCTCAGAATCATTCTATTTTTATATCTCTGTTCTTATCCATAATGTTTCAGCTAAAAATTTAATACTCGGAGGGCTATCTAATGTACATCATTTCCAGGTTAGGTGGTGGTAGGTGGGTATTAGGATGGGGATGCTCTTTAGGTAGTTCCCAGGATTTTTAGTAGTCAATAATTCTGGAAAAATACTTGATAGGAGAGAAAATTGAATTTTGACTGACAAATAGTTTGGAATTCTTTTATTCGAGTTTGTGCTAGGTACTCTACTTAGGTAACCAAAAACAGGCTAGCTGGTGAAACTGTAAACTCCATACAGGTAGGGTCTGTATGTTATTTATCATTCCAGTGCCAAAATGAATGCCAGGTGTCATTCCTTCACATCTGAGCTGTCATGAGGGGTAGGGGTGGTGGAGAGAGTGGCCCCTAGACACTAGTGTGGACTATCATGTAGATTCCTCCTAAAGAAAAATGCCTGACACTACCCTGCTCTGTTTTCTGTTCCCTGGGCTTCTACATAAATTGGTGTCAGGTATAGCCTATTGAGTTTTATGAGTATGTAAGTGTTATTTTTTTCCCCCAAAGGGTTGACTTTTGTTTGCAAGCTTTAAAATCTTGGTTTTCCCAGCATGCATAGACTTATCCTTTACTCATTTTTAAAAGTGAAACTTTTTATTTATAGGTAATTATAGATTCACATGCAGTTGTAAAAAATAATACGGAAACAGTGTACCCTTTAATTTCTTCCAATGGTAACATTTTACAGAACTATAATAAAATATCACAACCATGATATTTACATTGATAAAATCCAAGGATCTTAGGAGATTTCTCCTAAGAGAATTTTTTTTTTGTCCACTTATTTGTGTACTTCTGTATGATTTTGTCACCTGTATGCATATGTGTTGTATCCATCAGTCAGAATAGTTCGGTCACCACAAGGATCCCTAGTACTGCCTAGTATTTGCCATTTTGTAGTAACACCCACCTCCCTCCAGACCCTTGCTCCTGTCTCTGACCTTCAGTAACCACTAATTTTTTCAGGAATATTATATAAATTATAAACCATTAATGTTATGTAAATTATAAAGTATGTAGCTTTTTGCAATTGCCTTTTTCCATTTCCACTCTACATGGTTTCCTTGAGATTCGTCCAGGTTATTGTGTGTATCAGTAATTTGTTCCTTTTTATTGCTGAATAATATTCCAGAGCACTTGGTTTTTATCTTTTAATTCTCATGTATTCTATTTGTGGTTTGATAGAATAACTCTGTGGCTATTGCTGATGTTGATTTGGAAGACAAAAAAAATAAATTGGATACCGTGAAGACTTTGAAGACAGCAAAGGCAAAACGGAAGAATTCAAGTCAGTCACCTTCAGGTCAGAGGATCAAAAAGCTGAAAGTTGATGAAGAATCCAACAGGGCCAGCACTGCAGAGACACCATCCACAAGCACCTTGTGGGAAGGTGTGTGCAAGAAGGAAGAGAGTGAAGATGACTTCACATTTGGTCAGGCCCCTTTAAAGAAAATGAAGACTGAAACATGTCCTCAGGGGCAGCCTGTGAGGTTCCCAGCAAATGCAAACAACATTAAAGAGGAGGTGGAAATGAACTGGGACATAGTACAGGTATGTGCAGTCATCCTCTTGTCATTTGAGTTCACTAGGTTCCTTTCTTTTTGACTAAGATAGGAGTGGCACTGGGTAAGGAAAGGGTTGGGAGTTTTCAGGTCTCTTCAGTTTTGCCAGTGATTTCTGGAGACCTCAACTATTGGTTCCTATCCTAGGTGTACTATTTTATATTATAGCTCATTATCATCAGATCTTGAGCTAAGAGCTGTGACCTCAGGTGAGGTGGATCTCTGCCATGGTGTTTTGGTGAACATGTACTCTATAGAGCTTGCACCAACAAACTGGGCCCTCATAAATTCATTGTTAAGGTTTTATTTTGAATTTGGACTGTATTCCCTATAAAAGCAATGTGAGTAATTAGGTCATTGGCCATTAGTACTATTCTAATTCTTAATGTAATGTTGTAATATACAGTAAACAAGGTCTAGAAATTTCCTAGGAAAACTATCTGAATTCCAACTTGATCTGCCTTGAATCCAAGGCATTGCCATTTTTTGGTTGGTTTTGGGGATGACAGAGAAGACCTGAAGAGTGACTTTTAAATGGTGATTCTCAACCTTTTGTCAATGCCAACACATTCTGGGGACATTTCAAACTTAATTATGGCAGTGCCTTTCGGGGTAGAGAAGTGTGACTTCCCTTCTTCTTGGCTGTCTCATGGTGATTCTGATGGGTACTCCTTCCCTTTCTGAGAATTACTGCTCTAGAGCCTGGGAGCCTCTGCTGGCTCCTAATACAACTTCCCAGTCTGGGACTGTCTGCACGTTACCTTTTTCTTCAGAGGAGTTTTTTTTCCCCCCGTGTTGTCTCTTCTATAACCTATTAGTGGAACATCAGCAGTAATTTTTAATTATGATTTTTCTTTTCTCTGGCCCACTAAGGAATAAAATGTTGCCTCAGAGCTTTCTTTTCATTCTTGTTCTTGAATTAAACCGTGTATAATTAGGCTCCTTTATATACCATTTTTTTCTTTATTCACTTAGGTCTACAAAGACATGTTTTTTTGAAACTTCTTCTCCCTACCCCACTCCCCACAAGGACATGTTTTAAAAGGATGGATCATAGACCATCTGCATCAGATTCACCTGAAAGCTTTCTTAAAATGCAGACACCTCGTTTAGTTTCAGTCCAGACTCCTAGGGGCAGGTGGATGTGTCCCACTTCCCTTTCCTTTCACTAACACTTAGAAGCTTATTTCTCTGCTGTGAACATAGATCTGCCTCTAGTGGACGGTGAACAGGAGGGAGGGAAGAGGGTTTCAGAGACCATGAAGTCTCTTGAGATGCAGAGATAAATTCTTCAAGGTTTAGGGCTACTTACCCTCTGACACTGCTTCACACCCATCTCCTAATCTGTGTAACGGAGAAGGAGATGAAATGGTCCTTCCTTAGCCCATTATCTCTTGGTTTCAAGTAATGGAAACCTACTTGTAATGAACTGAAACAGAAAAGAGTTTATTACCAAGGACACAGAGGTCTTTCAAAGAATAGAAGGGACAAAGTGTGATCAAGTCTCCCAAAGGCCTTGAGCCAGAAATTGGAAAACCATGAGGACTTGAAGGCACTTTTTCAGTTTTTTTTTTTTTTTCTTTTCAGTTCCAAGCATTGTTTTCTCCTCCTCCTCCTTATTGGGAGTGATTTTTGACAGCTCAAACAAGCCTGTTCTTGGAATATGGCACACGTTACTTGTGAGTTAGGAGAAATGGTTAAACTACAGCTGTTATTTTGGTTGAGCAACCTGACAACTAGTAAGCTCAGCATTTTCTAGATGGGTTTAGGGGTTGCCCGGGGAACTTTGGGTATGATTTTTACGTTTTTTTTTTTTGTTGTTGTTGTTTTAACCAGAGGTAGTTATCCTTGTTAAACCTTGAATTACTTTTTTAGACTATTCTTGCGGTATATGTGGATTTCTTTTCCTTTCCTTTCTTACTCCCCCATAAACAGCAGAGAGTAATTTTATTTTGGCACTGCATTCCTATTTCCAAACATGGTTGACAACAGTGGCGGGTGTTAGAGAAGAGTGAGAGTCATCAGTGCAGAGTCTGACAGTCAGGAAGGCCTCTAGCCTTTGGATGAGGACCAGTCATTCAAACACCTGTGATAGGCATATTATCTGCCACAAAATATGTGGCGAAGTTCTTTGGGGAAATCCTGAAAGATACCTAGTTGGGAAGAAATTGTTGATGGAAATTAATTGTAAAGAAATTATTAATCATTACTAATTGATCAAGTGGGAAATGTCACTTATATTTCCTTCATGTTCCGTATGGCCCCTTCCTGCTTTCACATGTGTTTTTGAACTCTGAAAAGTCTATTGCTTTTTCAGGAATATCACCATCTTGTTTGGGAAGGGAATACAGTTCCCTAAAATACTTTAGTACTTAAGTTTTTTATAGATTTTATTTATTTTTATTTATTTTTTTAGGATGAAAAAATTTATATTTAGATTTAGTCAGCTGAACTCAGTTTAGATGATCCCAATTTTTTTGGCAACATCCAAAGCATCATAGTTAGGAGCCGGTTGAACAGTAGGAGCCTTCTTCTCTCCATCAGGCCTGATCAGGGTGCTGACCTTCACATCAATGTCATAGAACTTCTTTACAGCCTGTTTTATCCACTGCTTATTGGCTTGACATCCACAGGGAACAGAAGTGTGTTGTTGTCTTCTATTTTCTTGATGGCTGACTCGGTGTCAGAGGGAGTTTGATGATGGCATAGTGATCAAACTTATTTCTCCTGGGGGCACTCTTTTGAGACTGTGTGGGCTGCTTTCAGAGATGCAGTGTTGGTTGTTGGAATGTAGGTGACATGCAGATCTTTTTTTGTGATTGTGAATGCCTTTCAGCACCACTTTCTTGGCCTTCAAATCCTTTGCTTTGGCTTTGGGAGGGGCAGGGGCTTTGTTCTTCACCTCCAGTGCCATCTTCATGAAAGGGCTAGACTTTATGTATAAACGTACTTTGTGGCCATTTCTTAATCAGGCTTTGGGAATTTCCAGATCCCTTGAACAGAGGCAACCTATTCTTCAGCCCTTTCCCCCACACTGCAAATGTGTGGTCATTATCAGAAACTAATTTTCATTAAAGAACATTATATAATTATGCAAATACCATGACCTTTTAGAATTTGAAGAGGTAACTAGCTACAATCAGCTTTTAGAAAATTAAATGCTTCAAAATGGTGATTGCTGTTATAGTCTTTTTATTTTGAGGGGCCTGGGAGTATGGGAGTGGAGTAGTCACATATGTTAGTAAAGTTTGCTAAATTAGGGAGGAAAAGCAAGCAAAGCCTTCTTTATTAGCCATTTTTCTTTCTTTCTTTTTTTTTTTTTAAAGATTTTATTTTATTTATCCACGATAGACATAGAGAGAGAGAGAGAGGCAGAGACACAGGCAGAGGAAGAAGCAGGCTCCATGCCAGGAGCTTGACGTGGGACTTGATCCCAGGACCCCAGGATCACGCCCTGGGCCAAAGGCAGGCGCCAAACCTCTGATCCCCTATTAGCCATTTTTCTTGCAAGAGATAATGGGAAATGATATGGGTGAAGAGGACCATGGGATAACAAAATTGGGGAAAGTGAGATGGAAAGGGGGTTTGAATATCTCTGAGTTGGCTTTCTCACTGTATTTCCGCATATAAGCACACACTGCCCATTAACAAGTTACCTGTTTGTTCCAGGAGGTGTTAAGTAAAACAATTGGATTAGCCGTTTTTGTTTCTTTGATTTAGCTAGTATTTGTTATGGGCTCTTTAAAATACCTATTTTTAAAATATATATACTTAAGTGTGTAGCTCATGAATGTTTGAAAATAACAAGCTTCCAGTCAAGAAACAGAACCTTACCAGCACCCAACGAGCCCCTTTTATATGGTTTTCCAATCTCCTGTCCCCTTTCCTGTAACCACCCTTCTGACTTCTAACAGCATAGTTTTTCCTTTGCAGTCTTTAAGGAAGCTTCTGTATGATAAATTAAGTGATATAATAAATAGGCAGGAGTAAAGAGAACAGCAGGAATCAAAAGCTTTTCATAAAGGAGATGTTCAACTGCTGATTGGGAAATGATTTTGAGTAGAAAATTTTCTCTCAAGTCTACTCATTAGAATTCTAATGAGTAGAACTTAATTTAGGTGTTCTCTTAAAACATAGATGCTACCAGGACGATTAAGGCTATAGTTTGTTGATACCCAGATATTTTCTTTTTTAATTCAGGAAATGGGAATATAGATTGGAAAAATAAATCTCAGGACACTTTGGGAGAAGGCCATTTTGTTAGAAGTTTTAAACACCAGAGGGCAGTATAAAGGAACTGTTTTATCTGCACTTGATTCAGGAAGAGAAGTGAGGCTATTTGATTAATTTGTATTTTTGTCCCCCAAAATATCATCTTGCTTTGCACACAAATCAGATTTTTGAAAAGTAATGTAGCTTGTAGACTTTGGGCAATTCATTTAGCTTGTTTGGGCCTCAGTTTTTCTTTCTATAAAATGGGAGTAATAACTCTCATGTAGTTGGAGTTAATACTGAATATGTGAAAGTGTTGAGAACATAATAAGCTCTATACAAATGTTAGCTTAAAACAAGTCACAAAAAGTGCCTCTCATATTTAAGTGTTAGAATTGAAAAAAATCCTGAGACTGCCTTCTTTTTTACTTTACTCTCATTCCTAACCAGTTAAGTATAAATATTATTAAAGTAATGAATGTGAGTAGTTTCAAAATAAAAACTATGGTAGTTCTCTGCTTTACCCTTATCCATCCTTGAGGTTTGATCTCTACTTTCAACTCTTTCAGTTACATCTTTGTTGTTTGCCTCATTTTTCTAAAACACAGATTTCTGGGCCCTAACCCAGAGGTGGTTCTTCAGTGGATCTGGGTGGGGCTCAATAATTTGCATTTCTGGCAAGTTTCCAGGTGCTGCTTATGCTACTGGTTTGGGGACCACACATTGTGAGCCACTTTCTCTAGTCCACAGATTTCACTGACTCATAAAATGTCACAG